TCTTGACTCTGAAATCCTCCTCTATCTTGGTAGTAATCCCCTCCCCCCCTCCATCTAGGAAAAGCATAAAGGGCAGGCTAGAAGAGTGAGTCTGCCATGAGAGCTGAGATCTAGTGAGTGTGCAGCACAGTTTTCTTTTTTTGTTTTTAAAAATTAGCAAAGAAATAGGGGCCGTCTGGTGGTGTGGTGGTTAAGGGTGCTGGATTTCCACATGGCCAACCGTGGTTCAAGTCCTGGACCTGGTGGCTTGCTTTCACACTTTCTCTCTCTTTCTGTCCTTCTCTGGTCAACTTTAAATAAATAAGTAAAGTTAAATAAAAATAAGTTTTTAAAAAATGAATAAGAAATAATTTGTTTGTTTGCTTTATCCTTTTTTCTCTTTTTTCTTTCTCTTTTTCTCTGTTTTCTTATCCTTTTTCTTCTACCTCATCACTTTGCTGCTCAGCCTCCATGCACTGAGTATCAAGACAGATATAAATGAAAAGTTGCCAAATCTGAATATTATTTGGGTCCTCATATTCCTCAATTCTCACTGAACCTGTGACACAAAGGGAGAAAAACAGAACACCAAAGAGTTTGCAGACCACCTCCTCTTGTGTTCCTCCGATCACTCAGATTGAACTTCTAGAAATTAGGAACAAACAAATAACCCATCTGATGACTAGAAATCACTGCAGGGGCACAAGAAATATGAGAAACCAAGAAAATACCTCTTCCCCAAGGGAAAAGAATAACTCCTCTTCATCCATAGATAGTATATTGGAACTCATGGAAATGTCTGATAAAGAATTTAGAATATTCATAGCGACAAAGCTAACAGAGACAGAAGAGGACAGAGACAATGAATAGCAGAAGAAAAAGCCAATAAGTTTCAGGAGGTGAGGGAGTTCTTGCAAGAGCTGAAAGAGGAAATACACACCATAAAAAAGAATAAAATGGACTTATTAAGAGATAAAGGCTATAATACAGGAAGTCAAAACCTCCTTTGAAAGTATTAAAAGTAAACTAGATCATACAGAAAATTGAATCTCAGATTTAGAAGACAGAATTGCTGAATAATATACAAGAAATACTAGATATCATTAAATGTCCAAACATTTGGATAAGCAGTATCCCAGAAGGTGAAGAGAATAACAAGGGCATTGATAATCTATTTCATGAAATCCTGGAAGAAAACTTTCCAAACCTAGAGAAGCATTTACAGTTTCAGACCCAAGAAATACAGAAGACCTCAAATAGGATCAACCCAAGAAGATCTTCTCTAAGACACATTACAGCCAGAATAATCAGAACCACAGACAAAGACAAGACACTAAGATCAGCAAGAGAGAAATGTCAAGTTACCTACAAAGGATATCCCATCAGGCTAACAGCAGACCTCTCATCAGAAACAATGCAAGCAAGGAAAGAATGGGAAAATATATTCAAAGTGTTGAGCAAAAAACAATTTCAACCAAGAATACTATATCCAGGAAGATGATCCTTCATATGGGAAGAGAAGACAAGAACATTCTCAGATAAACAAAACCCAAAAGAATTTACCAACACCAGACCAGTTTTCCAAGAAGTTCTGAAGGGAGTGCTATCCTAGGAAAACTAAAGTCAGACACACAGAAAAAAGAGTTCGAAAACAAATAAGAAAATAGCTAGCTTACTGGTAGGGACGAGTCCAGAGTTGAACGTTATCTTCCAGAATTTAAATGGGAAGATCAGACCACTACAGAAGATAATGTACATGAGTTTGAACTGGTGAAACAGAATTTTATGACTTTTGACTAAAGCATTACTGATCTAGCTTTGTTTTCCAAAGTTAAGGAGTTTTTGTCTTGAGTTGTGGACAGGTTCATGTACCTACTATTGGAACAGAATCCTAACTTGTTTCCTGGCTTTAAGTATTAGGCAAAGTTTTTTGTTTGTTTGTTTTTGTTTTGTTTTGTTTTGTTTTTTTCTTTTATTATTTTTTTCATTTCATTTTCTTCCAAACATTCAATCACATTATTATTTGTCTTACAAAATGGATATTTAAACAGGTGAACATTTATCCCTAGTACTGTTGATAAAACTATGAAATATCTTCAACAGATAATACCAGTTTTTTAAACATTTTTTTATTTTGATTTATTAAAGCTAAAACTGCCTTTCTTAAAATTAAAAAATACAATTAAAAAATACCTATTTAATGACCACAGTAAGCTATATAGTCTCAGCTAGGTGCTACTTTATAGTATATTCATTCTACCCACAGAGTTTCATGCCTAAAGTCAACTTTGGTTCACAGATATGTATATATCAGCTGAACTAACTATTGAAAGTATTTAGATTAATTTAGATATTTTGTGAATCAATGAAATGTGGGAAAGAATAAAGGAATGGAAAGCAACTATGGATACCAGAGACAGGGTGGGAGGAGGATGGGAAATGGCAGAGGGCGAGAAATAGGGGGGATATACATACAAGAAATAAGAAATAGGAAAGTATTTGTTGATGAGAACATGTATGATTAAGCTACTTTTCAGTGTATTGTGGCTGAAAATCTCATTCTGTATGCAGTGTTGATGTTCAGTGAAAGATTGTAAAATAAATATATTTTAAAAACAAATTAAATAAATAAATAAATAAACTAAGTAAAAGTATGAAACATGAAATACTTTTCACAAAAAAAAAAAAAAGATATCCAAATGGCTTGTAAACAAATGGAAAGATGCCCAATGTCATTAGTCATGAGGGAAATATAAATTAAAGCAACCACCAAAATAGCTTAACAATAACAAGTAAGAATGTGGAGTAACCAACTCTCAAAAACTACTGCTGTGATCTCAAATTAGTACAATACTTTGGAATTAATAACTCCACTCTAGGAGACTCAGGTAGGATAGACAAAAGCTGTATAAGCAGCAATCCTAAGAACCAGCAATTCACCTCCTAGATATATATGTACATTACAATAATGAATGTAATGCACAGCAAAAGACTTCTGCAGCAATGTTTATTACATGTCCTGTCTATTACTAATAATAGACAAAAACTGAAAACGACCCAAATGTTCATGGACTATGGAATGGGTAAAGTGTAAAATTGAAACAATGGGATGGCATATGATCCTATAAGGGAATAAGCAACTGCAACATCAGACGACAGAAATAAACCTCACAGATGTAATAATCAGCCAAAGAAGCCAAATACAAGAAAATTTTTTTTCTACAATTCTAAGTTCAAAACAGATGAACTAATCCATGTTGATAAAAGTCAACAGAACAGAGCCCACAATATTTCCTTCCTGACCTCGCTGGGGTATGCATATATAAAAACCCATCGGTTGTATTTTAACACATCAATTAAAAGTGAGTGTCTCATGAGCTGACCAAAAATAAAAAAAAAATTGACATTTTGAAGTGTCTTCTTCTAGGCAATAAACACGAACCATTTATCCATTAGATGTGACATACGTCAAAAAGTGGATCTTATATGAAAACCGGTGATGACTAGCTCAGTGATAGAGCTGAGTTCCAAAGCACTCCCAAAGCCAAACTTGTGTCTGATCCATTACAGCTTCCTGAATCCTGGCAAAACCATTCCATCTGAAAAGTATGTTCAGCAGACCAATGAGATGCGTCAAAACCTGCAACGCCTGCCGCCAGCCTCCGTCAACAGCAAGGGCCTGGCTCTCCACGACAACACCCCACCACACCTTGTGCAACCGACGCTTCACAAGGTGAGCGGATTGGGCTATGACATTTTTCCTCATCCACCATATTCACCTCTCGCCAGCCGACTACCACTTCAAGCTTCTTGACAACTTTTTGCAGGGAAAAGACTTCCACAACCAGCAGGATGCAGAAGATGCTTTCCAAGAGTTTGTTGAATCCAGAAGCATGGATTTTGGTGCTACAGGAATAAACAAACTTATTTCTCATCAGCAAAAATGTGGTGAACACACCTTTGTGTGCCATAGTGCCTGGGAAAAATGGGATTTTTAATAAATACTTCATGGTGAACAAGTAATTCATCAGTTAATCAAAAAAATTACAAAAGTTATGACTATCAATGAATGGTCAAAGTAATTTGAAGAATTTCAACAGCATCCCCAATAAAGAAAAATTTTATATTGTGAATGAAGCACTTCCTTAATATGAAAAACAGCATCTGTGCCAACCCATCTCCAATATTGTGCTGAACAATGAATTATTGGGCATCCAGTTATTCATGGAAACAAGTCATACAGCCAGTATTTTTAAAGTCTTCATGAACTCAGCCAAGAGTCAATAGGCTTCATACTGATACGTAGGAAAAATTATTTGCATAGTTCTTTGACTAGAAAATCTGACCATATTCAGTAAAAAAGAAAAAAATCAACTGAAAAGGATTAGCGGGTAAAATAAACTAATAGTAGAAACCAGATCTTAGGTATTTGGACGTTTATGATAAAATGCTTTCAACTTTTCAACACATTCAAAAGTCTTCATAGTATAATGTGATGGAAAAGGATTGGAAACAATAATATATTTCAGCAGCATGGCCAGGTCAAAAGAAAAACAAAAGTTGAATTAACTAAACTATAGTCACACTAACAAGTTAGAAACATATGGGACAGGGTCCAGCAGATGGTGTAATGGCTATACTGCTGGACTCCAATGTAATCTACTGGGGTTCAAGTCCCAGACCCGGTGGCTTAAAACTCATGCCAGACATGTGTGCATATGTGCCCAAAATCCCAAGAAAAGAATGAAGGAGAGGGAACTGCGGCATGACCAGCCCTTCTGGGGAGTAATTTCTCGCTTTCTGTCTCCCTGGTGAGCATGCATGCACCATATAGCAAAAATCTCTCTAAAAAAATGAGATAACTGATCATATTTTTGATAGAAATAATATACAATATCTCAGAATAACCATAATAAAAATAATAATATAGATAAAAATGACAAGTTCTGCTTTTAATCAATCTGTACAAACAAACCACATATATATTGCCAAGCAAAAATGGTAGAAAACCAAGGACTCACCACGGGCCAGCACTAGATATTCAAGAACTTCCCTCAGGACTAACTTGCATTCCTGAAAATTTCATGAACCTAATAAAAGAAGAAAGCAAATATGATAACCCACTAACAACTAATTACCCTGGTATTCTGACAGTAAAATAATGTAAAATATATTTGATTTCTTAAAATAAAATTATAAGACAATTTGATCATATAGATGCAGTATTACATTGACATTGTTATAAATGGGAACATAATACATCCTAATATTTTTAAAACTCTTTTAAGATTGATCCCTGTCATTTTATCGTTTAATCAATTTAATTTTGTTTGACTTCCAGATGACTTGCACTGACTGCTAACAAGAATGCCAGAAACAAAAGATACTAAAGTAGGACACCATCGAAGAAGCTGGTACGCTCTTGCTCTTAGCTCTGTAGCTTTTTTGTTTTGTTTTTAGCATTCAGTGAAGAGACCAAACGTCTTCCTGTGATGATCATCCTATTTAAGTTATTTAGACTGACAGGATCTCAACAACCAAAACATCCGAAGATGGGCTGTGTGCGTGGCCCCTGCGAATATGCAGATGAGGACTGGCTCGCTCTAGTCCAGGGTGCAGACTGATGTGAACGTGCAGGGCAGTTACGAACAGCACGTTTCTCAGAGCTGCACTGGGGATGACTACCTCTGCTGTAATTGAACAAGTCATCAAGGAATCAGGAGAGTAGGTGACACTGAGAGAGTCACATAACTTCCTGTGGCCTCAAGCTTTTCTTAACCCGTCTTTGTTCTTGCAGTAGGACAACTTCCATGCCCTGAACACCACCCTCTGCTTGCACCGTGAAGAGTTTGAACGCACTGTCTGAACATTCTCGCTCTGCCTCTTTGCCCCTTTTTCTCTCACCAGACTTTGCATTGAGACCTCGGCACCGATGTAACTGCCTTGTTCAGAACTCTGCTCATGCCCCAGTTCTGAGCACTGCCACTCCAATACAGACCATACCGACCAGTCATACTGGTTTCATCACTACTGTAGAGTTGCCAATTCGTGTGCTTATTTTCTTCTCTATACTGAGAAGTTTCAGAGGCCTGGAACTTAATCTTTTTTCACTATTACATGTCCTGGAACTGAAGTGCTGCAAACTGTACTGCACTTTGCTGTGAAAACCAGAGGTGGTACCATGCACATAAACCCCTAAAACCACTATGTGCAGGGCGCCACCTAGAGACGTGTCTTGATACAGCGTGCACCAGGCCCACCATAATCTTGCGGAGGATGGTGCTCAAGGTGTGACATCTGAGCATGTGCAGCATGGATGACTGTTAAGCCCAATACTTCCTAATTCTAAAAGGCTATGCCATCCATAAAATGTAAAAGATAAATTACAGTCGGGCAGAAATGACAAAACTGTCAAGGAATTTATAGCCAGAAAACATATACATGCACCAAGTAAAATTCAGTTTAGAATGTATAGGCATACTTAGCTTTAAAATCTTGCTATATGAAATACAATTACAGGGGCCAGCCAGTGGCGTGGTGGTTAAGGGCGCGGGACTCTCACATGGCCGACCACAGTTCAAGTACAGGACCTGGTGGCTTACTTTCTCACTTTCCCTCACTCTCTCTCTGTTCCTCTCTGGTCAAATTAAAAAATAAATAAATAAAGTTAAATAAAATAATTCTTTTTAAAAAAATTATTGTAAGTTATAGTAATAGCAAAATATATTTATTAAAACATTTATATAAGTATGTACATACGCCTGTGTATACAATAAATATTTCACAAATATTTGAAAAAAATAAGACCAATATATTTGTATTTATATATACAAATGTTGTCAAATGTTGTATCACTATAGACTTCTACTCTTCTTTTTTTTTTTTTTTTTTTTTTTGGGGGGTTTTTGGATAGGGGGGGCTCACCAGAAAGACAGAGAGACAGAAAGCGAGAAATCGTCCCCCAGGGAAGATGGCCATGCTGCAGTCCCTTCTCCTCCATTCTCCTCCTGAGATCTTGGGCACGCGTGCACACACGCCCGGCCTGAGTTTAAGCCGCTGGGTCTGGGACTTGAACCCCAGTCGACTACATGGGAGTCCAGCAACAAAGCCATTATACCAATTGCTGGTCCCAACTTTCTTATTAAATGTTTAATAGTCTATTATTGTCACTATTGTTTCCATGTTCAAATGGTTCACTTTTGGCCAGCAGGGGTCCCTTCCTTTACCTTTTCACATCTCCGTATAATTTTTTTCGAGCATTTCTTACTGTCTGGTAAATAAAATACTATAGCTTCATACTTCTCCTCCTTAGAACCCAGAATTCATCATTGCTGCGGGGGTCCCTCGCCCTTTAATAAAGAAATGAAGGTCTGGACCCTGGGTGTCTGTCTCACTGCCACTGGGGACTCACTATCTCAGCTCTTTAGGAGGACAGAGCACACGCACACATGCTCACACCACACGGCACACACCCACATACCGTACTGACACACGCACACTCACACCACACGGCACACACCCACATACCGTACTGACACACGCACACTCACACCACACCACCCACAACCACAACCCATACAC